CAATTCATTTTGAGATTTTGCGCAACCGAGAGATTATTGGTCGCGACTTCCTTAAAATGAACAAAGAAGATTTTAGAGATTGCGGGCTAGAAATGGGGCCAGCGATAAGGCTTGCAGACCTCGCTCAGGAGCTCAACGATCAAAGTAAGTAACTATAATATTGTACTATGGCTTTATTTCATTTGATAATTTACAATAACTTATTGTGTATTTCGGCGATGTAGATGAAGACTCAAGTAAAACATCTACAGTAGGAACTCCTCCAATCGTTGCCGAATTGGATATGAAACTCCTTAGCGATAATCTTAATAAGATCATTCGTGGCGAATTTCAAAATATTAAGGGGGATATAGAAAAGATTAGATGTCGGATGGAAAAGATTGACGACGCAGTAAAAAGCCTTGAACAAAGAAATAATATTGAAGGAAGTGAACTTAGTAAATAATCAAATTATGCTAACTTAATATTTACCATTTATTATCAAAAGATATATTAGTTGAACTTAAAAAAAAAATTTTAAAACGTAGCTAATCAACTTGTACTGCAAGTGTATTTGTTATTTGTTAGTTTGCTCACATCAGGTTTGTGTATCGGAAAAATAAAAAATACAAGATCGCTTACATAACAATCATTAGCAAAGAGATCGGCGTTCTGAAACGGACGCGTGTGATTCATAAATATGAATTTAAAGTTTTAACTCTACTCAATAAGACCCAATTCTCGAAGATGCTCAGGAATAACTATATTTGGGTCTTCGTAGTACCAAACATACCTTAAAACAATCCAGTTTTCTTCGCACAATTCATTCTTGAGTTGATCCCGTGCTTGCTGTTTGATAAAATTATTGGGATCTCCTCTATGAAAGAATTCGTGATATTTTTCATGCTGTTGCCCCTGTACTTCTATAGCAAAACCGTAATCATAATAAGGAATATCAAGTTGCAATCCCAATTTATGCTCTGGTGTTTTTAAGAAATTGGGCCAGCGATTCTCTGATGATGGACTAAGATATTTTGATACAATTTCACGGCACAATTCTTCACGTTTATA